GGCATGAACAGACTCCACCAGCCAGTAGAATTGAGAGTGGTTTATTGCTCCTCCAGGATACAGCATAGCACAGATGTAATCTGGTTACAGGAACTGGGGCTAAGAGGCCTCAGTGCCCCCTTTGAGATAGGGGGATCCCAGCCCCCTTCCCAGTTCCTTCTTCCCTGCTTTCCAGCCAGGAACTAACTCCCTCTCCTCCAACCCTGCCCCCCAGCCAGGGCAGCATTCCACCTTCCTTTGTTCCTCTCCATGGGGGTCAGCTGGCCAAACAAGTTGGGATACCCTCTTTACATAGTGACTCATCGCTTTTCTGCTCGGTGGTGCTACAGACAGCAGCCAGAGAGTTAGCAGGTTACCTCCCACTACATCACAAGTCTTTTGAATACCACTGAGATCACGCTTGCAGGCAAGCGAGAAGGGAGCTCCACCAACCATCATGGGCAGTAAGAAGGAACTGAAGTGGTGGAGGGCCAGCGGGGGTATATATGCACAGATATAGCGGTGTCACTCCGGGGGGCTCCCTAGCTGGCCCAATGGGTGTCACTAAAGGAAAACTCTCAGAAATCCGTGCACACTACACGCGCACACCTAAGTGGAATGGACATGAGCAAGCACTCGAAGAAGAACTCCATGTTATCTTCCCTTTGTCCGTCCTTTCCCACTTGCTCTGAAATATATTTAAGGTCACAGCACCTTCTTACCCCCCGCTCCCAGTAAGCTGCGGACTCAAGGAGTTTGGGATGTGAGAACTGCATGCTTCAACTAAAAGTGCTGCAAACAATAAACAGAGTGGGTATGATTATATTCATCACATGATTATTACTATTCTTTATATGGGTGTTCACATTACTAATATAGGGTATGTCTACACTACAAAGTTAATTCGAACTAACAGACATTAGTTCGAATTAACTTTAATAGGCACTACACATACAAACCGCTAGTTCGAACTTAATTCGAACTAGCGGAGCGCTTAATTCGAACTAGGTAAACCACATTCTACGAGTATTAACGCCTAGTTCGAATTAAGTAGTTCGAATTAAGGGCTGTGTAGCCACTTAATTCGAACTAGTGGGAGGCTAGCCCTCCCCAGCTTTCCCTGATGGCCACTCTGGACACCACCAGGGAAACTCGTCTGCCCCCCTCCCGGCCCCAGAGCCCTTAAAGGGACACAGTCTGGCTATGGTGCCAGTGCCAGGTGCAAGCCTGCCAGCACCCAGCCAGCAGATCCTGCACCTGGCATGGCACGAACCAGCCACCCGCTGCCACCCAGCCCTCCGCCTCTTCCCGGGACCAGGCTGGC